AGGACAACAATTTAAGCAGGCTCCTTTAATGACTGCCATCTGGAGGAAAGGTGAGTGCCATTTGGCTCAGAGCTCACTCATTCACCCATCGTTCTTGACTTGAGTTGCCTTCAGCAGTCCGTCCAGCTGCCTTCAAGGAATGTAGTCAATGAGCACAGTGTATCATAAGTTTCAATCACTGTATCTCATCACAGATCCTGAGAGATGCTCAGCTCTGGGAGGGTAGAATGCCCTATATTACAGATGAGGAAACTACAGCTAAATTGGATTTCCAGAACTCTTTTAAGCACCATACGCTCAAATTCACAGAACGAGGACTAGAACTTGGATGGTTTGGGTCTAAGTTTCCTATAAGTCTCAGTCTGTGATGATGAGTGCAAGGATTTCCTTTGCCTCTCATGCATCTCTAGGAATCCTCTTCACTTCCAAGGGAGCAAGACTTCATCTTTGATGTCAAGTGATGCAAAGACCAGGGAAAGAGAACAAAAGCTAAGGCCTGGAGAAAGCTATAAGGGCAAAGGTGGAGGATTTGGGCTTTCAAGAATTAAAAGAAAAAAATGAGAGTCCTGAGTTTCCTTCTCTTCCAAACATAGTTTCTTTTGACTTGCATTAATCTGAAACTTCAAACTGGAGCTAATCCTATTCCTCAAAAAAAGCAAAGGAGGGCCAGTGAGATAGTATAGTGGGTGAGGAGTTTGTCTTGCATATAACTGACCCAGCTTTGATTGAAGTGCATCACATATGGTCTCCAGAGCACCACCAGGAATGATCCCAGAGTGCAGAACTAGGAGTAAACCTCTGAGCACAGCTGGATATGATCCCAAGCCCAAATGACTACAGCACTATAGCACTGTCCTTCCATTGTTCATCGATTTGCTCTCATCGATTTGCTCTAGCGGGCTCAGTAACGTCTCCATTGTGAGACTTGTTGTTACTGTGTTTGGCATATTGAATACATCATGAGGAGCTTGCCAGGCTTTGCTGTGAGGGCAAGATAATCTTGGTAGCTTGCTGGGCTCTTTGAGAGGGGCGAAGGAATCGAACCCGGCTTAGCCGGGCCGGATGCGTGCAAGGCAAACGCCCTACTGCTGTGCTGTTGCTCCAGCCCCAAATGACTAAATAAAAATAAAAACAAAGGATATTCCTTAGTTTCTAAGATCTGTGTACAGTCTCCTCCCAGAGCTAGCTTTATACCCAGATAACGAACACACATTTGGGGATATATTATTTAATCAGAAGCCATATTAGGAGGAATTCCATGAGGACAGAAATAAGGGATTCTTAAGTCCATGAATAGTGATGTTAGCAGAAATCTCACATGCAGGGGAGAGAGTCTGTATCCAGAAGATGTATCTATTCTAGGGAGAACATATCTCCCCTACCACAATTGGAAAATTCACTGTAGTCAATCTACCACCAGGTGGTTGACTGGACTCCTGCTAAAGGTACCATACTAGGAGCTCAGAATGGGTCTCCACTGGTTGCAGGGCAGGCATGTAGCAGAGGCTTTGGCAATAATTATAGTCATAATGATAACAAAGATATTTCTGCATAACCAGGCAACAAATTATTTTTGTCTTTGGACTGATTTAATTTTCCAATGCTATGCATTTTAGGTGCAACAAATAAAAGTGAATTTAAATAGGCTCTAAAATAGGTTTTTAATGTATCTGAAGAACAGGGTGCACAGAACCCCCATTAGCAAGTGCCTTTGAACTTGAGAGTCTGATGATTTGATTAGAGTAATAGTAACCATTACTGTTACAGTAATAATAACCATACTATCTCCAGACAAGTACCTTTCTCTTCGTATCCATATTTAATGTGGTCGTTTCAGGTTGTAATGAACGTAATTTAAAAATAATAGAAAAGAATTAGGGGGGAAAGGTAGCTTCACAAAGGGCAATTAAAGGACTGGAGAGATGGTTTAATGGGCTAAGGGCATGCCTTGCATTAAGAAGTCTAGGTTCAACCTTTGACACTCAAGGTCTCCCAGAGCATCTGGGAGTGACATGAGCACAGAGCCAGGAGTACAGAGCACAGAGCCCCTAAGTACAACTGGGTGTGACCTCAAACCATAAAAAAATATTGTACAAATATGAAGGGAACATTGTTCCCTAAGTAGGTGGAATAAGATTGGGACAGAAAGTGTATGTGCTGGCATGGAGGGTTGACAGATGTCTGGGAGCAAGTTTTGGGGTGTCCCACTTCCATTCTGACCTCCTTTCGAAGAGTGATTGGTTCCCTCTCTCTGGGCTCTTCCCACTATCAAGAATTGCATTAACTTGGCAATACGCTCCCACTTATTGCCAAGCATATTCATTTAGTAACCCATTTGTAAGCATCTATAGGGGGCCTGTTGAGTGGCAAAAGTATCCACCACTTTCTCCTGTGCTATTTTATGTGAACCTCACCAAATCCAGACCACACTCTATAGGACTGATGAGTGATCTTGCTCCACAAGTAACTGCTTTGCTCTTTATACTGAGGTGTCATACCAGAGCCACTTTCTGGGCAAACTATTCTGTTCCTTCAAGTTGGTGGTTCTTGTGCCAATCTGACACTGTTTACTTTCTTTCTTCTTTTTTTTCAAGGATGTTAGTATTGTAGTTTAGATGTTGCTGTCCCTTTCGGCGGGGGGTTGGGGGGTTGGGCACAACTACCGATACTCAGGGGTTACTCCTAGCTCATGCACTCAGGAATTACTCCTGGAGGTGCTCAGGGGATCGTGCACTCAGGAATTACTCCTGACGGTGCTCAGGGGACCATGTTAGAACCCGGGTCGGTCGCATGCAAAGCAAATGCCTTACCCGCTGTACTATGGCTCCGGCCCCCAATGTCCCTTTCTTAAACCCTCACCTTTATGGGTTCTGAAGTAGGAGCCTCTGCGCTGACAGCTATTTATACAGGTTCTCTCCTCAGCTGGATTCCTGTCCCACTCACATCCCACATGCTCACATGTCATTTTGCTCTTCCCTCTCCTTCCTCTCTCTCATCCTTATCCCCTCTTTCCTCTTTATGTCCCCTGTATCCCCCTCCATCTCTTGCATCCCTCCCCCCTTCTCCTGGACCTTCCTTTTCTCCCATCCCTCCTCTCTCTTCCCTTCCCCATCCCTTCTCCTTCTTCCAACCCTTTCTCTTCTCTCTTTCCTTTGCCATCCACTCTTCCCTGGGTTCAATCCTCTGGATTCATTGCACATTCTTCCTCAGTCTTCTCTTACACAACAGGGATGGGTCCTGGCAATAGTCTCTCCTCTCCAGGCCAACCAGCAACAGGAGGGGACAGTGGGAAACAGAGGAGTGCCAGTGAGCAGCAGAACTGGGGTTTGAAGGGGTTCCTCTAAGTGGTGGTGGGGAGAGTTAGGTCCAAAGGGCACGACATTCAGTGGCTTGTCACCACTGGAGCAGGAGATCTGCTTCAGCCTAATGGGTCTTGTCTTGCTCTACTCTTCCTGCTGTTCTGCTTCCCAGAAGGCTCCCATGCACCTTTACCGGGTCCCAGCTTGTCATTTCCATCTCATCCCAAATATGTCACCCCAAATATTCCAGGACCAGCCAATGTGTAGATTGCCCCCATCCTCAATCTAACACCTCAGCGCCTTGGTTTTGTTTCCTCATAATCATTAACCAATGGAAAGGAGACTGTTGATGTTTGCTTTTCTGTGACTCTTCTACCTTTCACAGGGAGGTGAGCTTTTATATGCATGGGAACCAACTCCAGTGCAGCCGTGGTAGGTAGAAGGTAAGAGTAGATCCAACAGCGTTTGCAATTGATCAATGAATGAACAGCAAATTCCGCAAGCCAGGGAATGACTGGTTTCCTGCAAGAGTTAGGAGCGAAGCGAGAAGCGGACCCTGCTCTATTTCTTCTGCTCTCTTCTCTGCAGCTCCTGCTAGCAAAGGGCCAAGGGCAATTAAGGGCAGGCCTTGCCACCAGGAACCCCTAGCCCTAGGAAAGGGAAAAGGGCGATCCAAGCAAGCCCGGAGCGCACGGGTTCGAGATCTTGCCCCCTTTTTATTCCCCCCTCCCCCCAACCGTCCCCCAGCAATTTGTCATTTACTTCTGAAGCAGGGAGTGGCGAGGCGAGAAGGGAAAGCTGCGGATCCCTGGAGAAAGAAGAAAAAGAGAAGCCCCCTCTCTCGCCCCATCGTCTGCCTCATCACGATTCTCCCCCCCCCTCCTTCCCGCCACGCCACGCCCCGGGGGAAACCCCAAACGCCCACAGGAGCGCGGGGAGCCCCGCACACAGCCGCGAGGTGGCGGTGGCGGGGCGGCGGCCGGCCCAGGCAGTCCCCGAGCGGCGGCCGGAGGACCAGGGTGGGGGGCTGCGGGGAGAGGCGGGGCGCCGCGACGGGGCGGGACAATGGGGCCCCACCCCGGCGAGGGAGGGAGGGAGGGAAGGAGGTGGCGGCGCTCAGCCCGCCCCGCGCGCTCGCTCGCTGCCGCGGTTGCGGGGCTGAGGTTGGAGCCGGCGGGGAGGGGCGCGGGTGGGAGCGCGGAGGGAGGCGGCGGCGGCGGCGGCGGCGCGTGTGGCTGGCGGGAGCGCGGCTGGCACCAGGCTTGTAAATAAACTGCGATGCTGGCTCGGGCTCGCCGGCCCGGGTGCCGCCGCTGCCGCTGCCGCCGCCGCCGCCCCGGAGCCGCGGTGCCAGGCTCCCGCCGCCGCGCGCCCTAGCGCCTCCGCGCCAGCCCCGCGCGCCCGCGTCCGCTCCCCACAGCCGCGCTCAGTCCGCGCCCCTCCGGGGTCCCGCGGCTAAGCCGCGCGGGATGTGACCCCCCCGGATTTCCCCCCTCCCCGGCCCGGCCTCCCCAGCACCCCTTCCCCCCCGAGGGGGGGCGCCTTTGCCTGCTTTTGGGGGGTGGGGTGGGGAGGGGCGCGCAGATCATGGCATTGGAGTTCCCGGGCTTGCAGCCGCTGCCGCCGCCTGGTCCACGCACCCCGAGCGCCCCTTCTTCCCCCAGCAGCATCAGCATCAGCATCAGCGGCAGCAGCAGCAGCAGCGGAGAAGGCGAAGCGGCCGGCCGGGGCGAGGCAGATGGGGCTCAAGGCTCGCAAGGCGGCGGGGGCGGCCGGCGGCGGAGGCGACGGGGGCGGCGGAGGCGACGGGGCTGCTGCTAACCCCGCGGGAGGGGACGCGGCGGCGGCCGGCGACGACGAGCGGAAAGTGGGACTGGCGCCCGGCGACGTGGAGCAAGTCACCTTGGCGCTCGGGGCCGGAGCTGACAAAGACGGGACCCTGCTGCTGGAGGGCGGCGGCCGCGATGAGGGGCAGCGGAGGACCCCGCAGGGCATCGGGCTCCTGGCCAAGACCCCCCTGAGCCGCCCGGTCAAGAGGAACAACGCCAGGTACCGGCGCATCCAAACTTTGATCTACGACGCCCTGGAGAGACCGCGAGGCTGGGCGCTGCTCTACCACGCGCTGGTGTGAGTACCTGGGAGCACCCGGGCTGCCCCTAGGCAGCTGGGTCGGGGTGCGGGATTCGGGATGGAGCGTTTTAAAGTCTAGGTTAGAGACCCGCCTGCTCTCGGTGCGCCCTTCTCTGCTCCGCGTGTCCGGGTGGCTGCAAACCGCTCTCTGAGGTTGGACGCCAGGGCTGAAAAAAGCCCAACGTGGTTCCCAGAGGATGTTCCCTAGCCTACGGGCAGGGCAAGTGTGTGCGTCTGCCGGAGCACATGTAGGGCACCTTCTCGGGATGCTGGTATCCAGCCTCTAAGGAATGAGGTAGTCGTGCACTCACTGTGCAGGCTGCACCCGGGAAAGCGGATCTTCCCGTGCGCGCACGGGCTTGTTGCCTTTGGGTGGGTCCCTTCTCTTGGGATCGCTGCTGAGTTAGATGATGCATCTCGGAGTTGGGGAGAACAGTGGTCGACTGTTGTGTGTGTGTGTGTGTGTGTGTGTGTGTGTGTGTGTGTGTGTGTACGTAACACTGTTTGCTTGCGCCACTCTTTTCTAGGAGTCCATCACCCTGTGTTGCTCCAATTGGAAGCTTATACTGGTAAAAAAAAAATGCCTCGCTTTAGCTTCTTTTCTGGAAATTTTAATAGGATTGTGTGCGTGTGTGTGTGAGACTGAGGGGTGGGGGGATACGGGGCGGGGTGGCGGGGGCTTCCCTGTGAGGCTAGGCAAGGCCAGCGGTTATTAGGTTTTCACACATCTCCAGGATCCAGGACCCTGGACCTGAACCGCTGCTTCTCACTTTATCTGCCCCAGGGCTCAGGAATATGGAAAGGGCCTGAGGCTAGAGGTTTGCCCCTGCACACCCTAAAATGAGCCTCTTTCCTAGTCAGGATGTCATGCGGGGTTGAAAGGAAGATGTAAATCCCTTCTGCCTCTAACACCCTATTTGGGGATCGGGAGAAGAGGGGATTGGTGATTCCTTGCTGAGGCGGGAACATCAACGCTGGGAAACACCCCTCACCCACAGTTCCCATTAGCAGCGGCACTTCCAGGTACCTCTTGCCTCCTGGCTGTGATTTAGTCCTCTTGATGGCTGCTCTTTAGGAGACTGTATGGTCATCAGAGTTTGGAGAAATGGTGCTGCTCAGTATCACGATTTTTCTTGTGCCTTTAGCGATGGCTGTGCCCCTCTGTCCTGCATGTGACCCATGACTGATCTGGGCAGGAGTTCAGGGAGGTGTTACCCGCCTGTCTTCCCTATTGGAAACGTTTATTCCAGATTTGGCCACCAGGTGGGGTGTCTGCACAGCCCCTCAGACGTGGCAACAGGTTTCTTCTGAGGTTACTGAAGCCGGGAGAGAGGGCTCCCGGAAACTGAGGAACCAGCAGGAAGGAGGAGAGCATGCAGCCAAGGCGGTACAGCCTCTGGCGTCCATGTCTGCATGCATTTGCAGGTGTTAGTGACTTGAGAGCGAGGGTACTCCTTCATCTGCTTTCTTCAAGTGGTAAAAAAGGGCTGAAAAATAAATTCATCTCTGGCGCAAGCACTATGACGTTTAGTCAAATGGAAATGAAGTTAATTCTAGAATATGTGACAATGAGAGAGGCATGTAAATCATTTGATGGCACATAGACATACACACAGACTCATACATCCTTTGGCGTTTTAATAGCGTCAGTACATATTAGGTGAATTCCCATTCTGAGGTCCTCCTGAAGCTTGAGGCACCCATTTCTTATCCCACCTTTCTCAACCAGCACCCACACTATGCTTGGCCCAATTTTATCCTTCTCTAGAATGACATTATCACCTGGCAGCAGATTTGAGATTACCAAACTGTCGCAACGATTTCCCAGAGAACTCTCACCGAATACCCAGCTTAGGCATTTTCATGCATACAAATCATTTATTTTGCTTCTTTATCACCACTGTGAAACTGTGATTCTTTAAAAAAGCTAAACAATGTTCCTTAAAAAAATACACATATATGTTGGACAAGTAGCTGTTTCCACACCTTGGCTACAGAGAATAGTATTGTAATGAACCTGGCTGTGCTGCAGTCTCTCTGAGATTCTGATTTTAGGCCCTTGGGAGATAGACTTGGAAGTGAAATGGCTGGATTCTTGTAGTTTATGTTTTAGATTTTTAAGACCATTTTCCATTTGCACCAACAGTGTACCAGGTTCATAAAATCTCCATATCCTTACCAACATGTGTTGTCTCTTGACTCTTTTTGTGTATTTAATGCCACCCCAACAAAGCTCTCATTTGAGGGAAGAGTCTGGTCTCTGAAGTCACCTCTGCTCTTTCCTTGCTCTATGATCTACAGGAATTTGCTCAACTTTCCTGAATCTTGGTTTGTTTATTTCTAATATGAAGATCACAATGGCTACCTCCCAGGGTGGATGTGGGATTACGTTGATGTGATGGAGAGGAAAGTATTAAAAATGGCACTGGAGGCATTCAATGAATATTGTCTCCTTTGGGCCTCCACTATCAGTTATATTTATTCTGTTTTCTTGCTGTTATAAACTAGATGCCTCCCTTTTCTAATGATCTCATTCTCTACTTCATTTTTTCAACACCTTGCCTTCCTTCTGACTTTCTTTCTTAAGATGCTTTTATGCCACAGAGTTGACAGAAGAAGTCAGATTAGTAGCTGATAAAACCAGCTGGATTGTATCTGATATGTGGGCGGCAGAGTCAGGGAATAAGATGGACCATGACTATAGTGGCATAGTACTTCACTGTCTATGAACAGAGCTCATATCCAGTGGGCCTCCATGCTGAAAGCAAAGATGTTTTTTGTTTACAAAGAAATGTTAGCTTCTGATGAGTTTGTCGAGACTACTTAGCTATTCAGGCCAAACTGGTATTATGTATGAAACAGTAGCATCTATTTCGTACTGTCTTTACATGTCATGATCTCCTCAAGGGAAGATGCAGAGGAAGGTAACAGAGAGGGACAGACTCTGTTTTCCTGGATAAATGCTTTATAGCATTCTATAAAGCATTTATTTTTTCATTTATTTACTGGTTTAGTTTTTGGGTAGCACTCAGCAGTGCTCAGAGTTGATCCTATCTCTGTGCTGGGAATCAGATGCAGGAATCATCAAGCTTGTAATTCTCAAGAAGATTCAGTGGAAATATCAACATACCTGCAGGAAAAAAAATAATAACCTGAATCCAGTGAAAGAAGTCAAACACATTTCAAATGTGGACTGTCCTGCAAGCTATCTGGGTAATCTCTTCCAAAGGATCAGTTGTTGTACAGCCAAACAAACATTGATGAAGAAAATTATTTCAGTTAAAGAGGCTAAAAAGATATGGCAACTAAATATAGTGCATGAAAATTAGCAAATGAGATGACATCGAATGAAAACATTTTTAAAACTAAAATTAGCAAAAGAAAGAATGAAGAAAATGGAAGGGAAATCTATGGAAGGAGACATAATACTTGCAAACCATTCATCTGGTAAGGAGTTAATACCCAAATTATATAAGAAACCCCTAACAATTCAATAGCAGAGAAAATAACACCAGTGAAAAGTGGGTGGACAATCTGATGGACATTTTTCTTAAGAAGATATACAGATGGCCAACAGGTTCATGAACAAGGACATTCAACATCACTGATTATTAGAGAGATGCAAACCAAAGTTTGTGGGATATCATTTTCTACTTTTAGAATGACAGTTATCAGGAAGGAAAATTATTTTAAAAAATGCTAGGGATGATCTGGATTCCTTGGGCTCTTTTGGCGATATCCTAAACTGGTATAGCCAGTGTAGAGTTTCCTCAAAATATTATAAAAAGTATAGAACTATTTTTTTCTGATCCAGAAGCCACATTGCTTGGTTTTTATCTGACGGAAATGAAATCACTATCTCAGGGAGTATGAGCTTTATGCTACTGCAGCACAACATTATTTTTAATATACTAGGCATGGAAGCAACCTTTCTGTCTGATGACAGATAAGTGAATAAAGAAAAGATAATGGCTAGGCCAGGGAGATGGCTCAAAGGGCTGGCGCACATACTTTGCTTGCAAAAGGCCTGAGATCAATCCCTGGTACAGCATGGCCCTCCAATCACTGCCAAGAGTGACCTCCAACCACTGAACCAGAGTAGCCTATGAGCACTACAAGGTATGGTCCCCTAAAAAAAGTGATAGCAGTCCATCAGTCTATATATCTATTTATCAATTGATAGATCTATTTCTGTTCTTTCTATCTATCTATCTATCTATCTATCTATCTATGTCTCTAAATGTAATAGTATTCTTCACAAAAAGAATGATACCCTGATATTTCTAACTACATGGATTAACCTTGAGGGTATTATGCTAAGTGACTGGATCAGACAAAAGCAAATACTGCATGATTTCACTGATACATGAAATCTAAAATTCTAAACTCCTAATAACAGCATAGGTTGGTGTTTGCCTGAGGCTGAGGATTGCAGACCAAATAGCTAAAGATGGCTAAAAAGTGTGAACTTCCTATTGCAAGATGAATACATTATGGCATCTAATGAATAGCATGGTGAATATAGTTAACAATATTCTTTGTATTTTTAAAAATTGCTAAAAGAGTAGATCTTTAATATTGTCTCATCCACACATCCACACAAAGAAGTAACTGTGAGGTGTTAAATGTGTTTGCTAATGCAATTTTGGTAATCATTTCACTATATATAATCACACTGTACAACTTCAACTTGAACAATATTTATGTATGTCAATTATAGCTCATTAAACCTGGAAATAGAAGCAAAATCAGTTCATGATTCTTGATTGGATTCTAGATCAGAAAAAAAAAACCAAATGACAATGTTCTTTATTTATTTTGGCTACACCCTGTGATGCTCAGAGCTTACTCTTGGTTCTGTGCTCAGGCATCATTTCTGGTGGTGCTTGGAGGATGGGGGGGAGCACATGTGGTACCAGGGATCACCATGGGTCAGCTTTGTGCATGATGAGCACCTTAGCTGCTGTATTCTCTCCCCAGCCACCCTAAAGTTCCGT